TGAAGCTAATAATTGGGCCTTTGGTGGGCCTAGGAAAAATTTTACATATTAAGCTTGTTTTCCTCCATTTTTTTCAAGGAATTGATTTAGCTAGGTCTTACCACCATTTGGTGAACCTAACTAAACCAATTCCAACATTTTTGGATTGCATTAACTAAAGGAAACAAGTCATGACCGCCTAGCTCCCTCCTTGGCTGAACTGCTCTTTAGCTTGTCCAAAACACTTGATTCTAGCTTAAATTTTTCCACAAGCTTTAGCTTAGCTTGATCCCCAAGCTTCTAGCTTAGCTTTCTTGACAAGCTTCTAGGAAGGTAACTAGGGATGGTTAGCTTAAGTGTAAGAAGTCTAACCATAGTTCTACTTGAACCATGGTTAGACCAGCTTGCACCATAAGCTACCTATTCTTTATATAAGGCCTTTCCTTCACTTTGTAAACACTTTTGGATGTTATAGTGAGATTGTCAGGTTTTATTCTCTGAATTCTCTCTTCCTAAAAGTCTCACACCTCTTTGATTTCAATCCAATTATCTTATCATCTTCATTTAAGAGTGTGGTGAGTTTTGAAGTGATTCATCTTCTTCCAAGGAGTGGCATCACTTGAAGAGTGTTCTTCACCTCTTAAGGTCAAAACCAAAGCCTCTTCTACCTAAGGAGGGTTTGGAGAAGCTTGATAAGACTCAAGGAGCCAAATGTCTAAGGAGGAAATTGGAGGAAAAGCCATCATCCATCCAGATTCTCCAAGAAGTTTCCATCACTTTCTTTATGCCTCACCCTCTTCAAACACATCTTCTTGTACCTATTCTAGTTCAACAAGTGATGTTTAGGCCAAATACAAATATACAAGCATAGGGAGTGAGAATGCATCACATCCACACACAACTTATATAAGACATAAAGGTAGAAATATACATCTATAAACATCAATACGTTTAACACACATATAAGAATCCTTCCATAGATCTACAATAACCATTTTTATACATTCATTCCTTATTCATGGGCAACAATTAACACAACACATATCAATTACAATTGAAAACTCGTTTAACGAATACTCCTAACTCTATAAGTTAGTGGTACTAATGTCCTCTTCATCATCAAGAATCCATAATAGTCTAGGAGTCATGGAACAAGACCACCCTATCGAGTAGAGTAGGGAACACCCATCATTAGTGATCCCTTTGACCCTAACTTAGACAACTCTAAACTACTCAACTCTTAAGGATTCTTTAACCCTCGAGGACTACTTGTGTTGTCCTAGTGGACTTTCCTCCTTGGAAAGGCTAACCTAGAAAAAAATGGGTGTTTATAGTTGCCCCTCTTTACTTGTCCTTTGGATAGTAAGGTATTATTTTTTTTCAAAGGCAAATAAAGATGTAGATGTTTTGTCTGGATTTTCTTTTCTTGTCTTCATAAGGCACTAGTGTCTCGTGTTGATTCCTTCAATTAGATGGGTTTGCCTTTATCCTTACTTGCTCCTTGAATAGTAAAATGTTGAGACTGCGTTTTTTGAGGGTGGGCGAGGATCGAAAAGTGTGCCTTCCAAACCTTTGGCTTCATGCTTTCGTGTGAAGGTTTCATGTTGCTTCCTCTAGCTAGATGGGTTTGCTTGTGTCCTTGCTTACTCCTTGGATAGTAGAACGTTAAGACTGTGTTTTATGAGGGTGGACAGGGATGGCAATATGTACCTTTTGAACTTTTGGCTTCCTATTGATCTTCTCTATTTTTCTGTACGGTTGTGTGGTGTTTTGTTGTGAAGATTCTTCCAAGTCTATTGTGAAATGAGTATATTCTAAACTCAGCCTCTCTAGGTTGGGCTTCGTAGGGGATCCAACCGTCCAAGGTAAGTATTTTTTGCTATACCTCTCTAGACTGATGGGTTGAGTATTTTTTGCTACGCCTCTCCAGACTGATGGTTGAGTATTTTTTTTTTGTGCCTTTCCAAATTGATGGCTAATAATTTTTTATTGTGCCTTTCTAGACTAATTATTGTGTATGATTTGATAGTGCCCAATATGAAAATTCTAAATAAATACCTATACAACTCATTATGTTACACCCTTTTACCCCAAATAAATAAATAAATAATATAATAATTTTGTAAAATAAAAAATAATAAAGTTCTTATCACCAATACTTTGTAAAAGGGTTTACAATGCTTTATCTATAACTTGGGCGAAGGAAAATATAGAAATTAATGTATAAAACCAAGCAAGGCATAACCACCTAATTTAATAAAGTTCCAACATGAAATAGAAACTTAACAATTGCATATAATTACTAATACTAAAACTTTGCCCCAATATCACACTATTAGAGCAAAACTTTTCTGATGGAAACCAAATCCTCAAGGATCCCTTTAGAAGAGGTAAGACCAAGAAGGGTAAAGGTTGATCCATAGGAAGCTCACACTTGAAGGTCATTAGACCTTTAGCAAGGACCATGATTAAGAGGCTAAAGGAGGCTTGTACAGAGGAGGTGCTTCTTAGACCTAAGCTCTATTTGAGCATTGAGTATGATTCCTCTTTTTAGTCTCATAGGCTCTATTGTACATACCTTGTATAGTTTGAGTTCTTGTACCTTGTATATAATAGATGCTTGTATAGGTGTATTTAGTCATTGTATTTGTAAGGAACCTATTTCTTTTCTCATAGGTCATAATACCCTTAGGATTCTAGGGTATGTTACTTGGAGACTGTTTCTCCATTTGATGTTGTATTAAGGGACATATATTTTCTCATTTTTATTAGTATAAGTGGGGTGACAAATAGTAAAGTATGTAGGTGAAGCTAATAATTGGGCCTTTCGTGGGCCTCGAAAATTTTTTACATATTAGGCTTGTTTTCCTCCATTTTTTTTTCCAGGGAATTGATTTAGCTAGGTCTCACTACCATTTGGTGAACCTAACTAAACCAATTCCAACAATTTTTGATTGGATTAAGTGAAGGAAACAACTCATGACTGCCTAGTTCCCTCCTTGGTTGAATTTCTCTTTAGCTTCTCCAACACACTTGCTTCTAGCTTAACTTTTTCCACAAGCTTAAGGTTAGCTTGCTCCCCAAGCTTCTAGCTTAGCTTGCTTGACAAGCTTCTAGGAAGGTAACTAGGGATGGTTAGCTTAAGTGTAAGAAGTCTAACCATAATTCTACTTGAACCATGGTTAGACCAGCTTACACCGTAAGCTACCTATTCTTTATATAAGGCCTTTCCTTCACATTGTAAACACTTTTGGATGTTATAGTGAGATTGTCGAGTTTTATTCTTTGAATTTTCTCTTCCTAAAAGTCACAATCCTCTTTGATTTCAATCCAATTCTATTATCCTCTTCATTTAAGAGTGTGGTGAATTTTGAAGTGATTCATCTTCTTCCAAGGAGTGGGATCACTTGAAGAGTGTTCTTCACCTCTTAAGGTGAAAACCAAAGCTTCTTCTACCTAAGGAGGCTTTGGAGGAACTTGAGAAAACTCAAGGAGCCAAAGGGCTAGGGAGGAACTATCATCCATCCAGATTCTCCAAGTTTCCATCACTTTCTTTATGCCTCACCCTCATCAAACACATCTTGTACCTATTCTAGTTCTACAAGTGACGATCAGCTCAAATACAAAGATACAAGCACAGGGAGTGAGAATACATGACATCCACACACAAGATATACAAGACATAAAGGTAGACATATACATCTTTAAACATCAATAACGTTTAACACACATATAAGTATCCTTCCATAGATCTACAATAACCATTTTTATACATTCATTCCTTATTCATGACCAAAAATTGACACAACACATATCAATTACAAATGAAAACTCGTGTAATGAATGCTTATAACTCTATAAGCTAGTGGTACTAATGTCCTATTCATCATCAAGAATACATAATAGTCTAGGAGTCATGGAACAAGACCACCCTATCGAGTAGTGTAGCGAACACCCATCATTAGTGATCCCTTTGACCCCAACTTAGACAACTCTAAAAAACTCAAATCTTAAGGATTCTTTAACCCTTAGAATTTTATATAACAACTAAAACATAACATAACAACTTAAAACAACACATGTTAGTCATCATATACATAAAATTATGCATAAAAGATAAAACCTAGTGTTAAAAAGATGATAATAAATTATACAAAAATAAAATAAAAATTAGTTTATTATAAGAACTAAAAACATATTTGATCCTTAATGATAATTTATTTGTATTTTCCTTTGACATATGGATTTAACGCTCTCTTGCACAATTTTGGAGGTTTACAGTTGACCAACTTTAAGGAGTTTATTGATATAATTATAATTAAGGGTAAAGATAGAAAAGAGATTAATTAAAGATTTAAATTTGGTACAAATTAAATATAAAGTAGAAAATTGCTTTAGCGTGCTATGTATAACTTGATAAAGTTTCGAAATAAATGATGCTTTTCTAATAATAGAATCGTTATTTTCCCTCATATTTATATCATTTGAAGTGTTAAATATGTTTATCCTCCCTCTTTTAGAAACAAATGTTTGACATAAAAAACTATCTTATCATAACAAAATTAAAATGTTTCTTCCAAATATTTATCTTTACCAATAACTCATTTATCGCTACAAATAACCTTTTTTCTTGTAGTAAAAAGATAGTTATGATGACAATGTAAATAATTTTTTGAGGATTATTTTACACTTTCAGTCATGCATATGCGAAAATCATTACAACCTTTAATTATAGTCGATGAATCTTATTACAGCAAGTCAAGTGATAACAACAAATTGTCAAAGACTATAATAACAACATAACAAATAATGTTGAGTGTTAACAAACCAATATTCAAGGATGTATTAGTATTTGTTAAATTTATAAGAACACAAATCATAACTCTCCATTTTAAGAAAAAAACGGTGTCAAAACTAAAATGATAGTAACTTGGCAAGACAAATGAGTGCTTTCTATGACAATATATAATGCTCGTTCCAATTGATATTCAAGTGCTCATTATCACAAACAAATACTTATACAGGTTTAGGGTTTATTCAAGTGCTCTTTTTTTAAACTTACAATAACATCATGAAGATGATCATTATCTTTTACATCACCTTTGCATGCAATTTTCTAGGAAATGTTATTTCACATGCCAACCCTCTCTCGTATGAAGCTATTTTCAATTTTGGTGACTCTATAAGTGACACCGGAAATGCTGCTACTTATTACCACCCATCTATGGATGAAAATAGCCCTTATGGCTTAACATACTTCAAACATCCTTCTGGACGTGTGTCAAATGGACGATTGATCATAGATTTTTTAGGTATATGCCATTACTATTTTAGGTAGCCTATAAATGAAATTTCCTTCATAGAAATTCACACACATAATATATTAGTGATTGAGAAACATACTAACATGTGGTTGTTTCAATTACAGCTGAGGCATATGGCTTACCAATGTTGCCAGCCTATCTCAATCTCACCCAAGGCCAAGAGATTAAGCATGGAGTAAATTTTGCATTTGCCGGTGCAACTGCACTCAATATGGACTATTTCATACAAAAAAGACTCAATGCACCGTCGACAAATATTTCGTTGACTGTTCAACTTGATTGGTTTAAGAAGCTAAAACCTTCCTTATGCAAAAATAAACAAGGTTTGTCAAAAATTCTTTAATAATGTTTTTACTATATACGTGATTTTTCTTGATGACTTATAAATTTTATCCCATTCTATTGCAGAGTGCGATAACTACTTCAAAAATTCATTGTTTCTCGTGGGAGAAATTGGTGGAAATGATATTAATGCACTTATATTATCATACAAAAATATTGCAGAACTTCGAGAAATAGTTCCACTAATTGTTGAAACAATAATCAATGTCACCACTGTATGTCATATCAAATTTAAGTAGCAAAATATTGACTTCAAATTTTGACTAGAAATATGATTAAGTAGATCAAGATTGATGAGAAATTCAATTTTGTTTTCCTTTCATTTTATATTTATCAGGAATTAATAAAAGAAGGAGCAGTAGAGATAGCGGTGCCAGGGAACTTCCCAATTGGGTGTAATTCTGCTATCTTAACAATAATGAAAAGTGATAACAAAGATGATTATGATCAATTTGGGTGCTTAGCAGCTTATAATATTTTCATTAAATACTACAATTGGCGGCTCAATCAAGCCATAGAGACACTTAGACAAAAAAATAGTCATGTTAAAATAATATATTTTGATTATTACAGTGATACCAAACGTTTATTTGAAGCACCACAACAATATGGTAAGTTGAGTTTTTATTTTTTTATTTTTTTTTATATTGGATTAACAATTTTGTTATTACTTGTTTGTATCTTATGCTTTAATTATGTACATTAACCATGCAGGCTTTTATTTTGGTAAGAATGACACTTTTAAAGCATGTTGTGGAAAAGGTGGTCCTTATAATGTTGATATACATATATTTTGCGGAAGTTCTAAAGCAACGGTTTGCTCAGACCCTTCAAAACATATAAATTGGGATGGAGCCCACTTAACTGAAGCAGCTTATAGGCTAATAGCAATGGGAATAGTTGAGGGTCCTTTTGCAAGTCCTTCTCTTAAATCTCCTGTGTTCAAGATAGCTTAAAATTAACAAAGGCATTAAAGGAAGCTTGACTTATTTTCATAAATTCAAAATTAGGATTAAAATTATGTTTCTTTTACAATTTTTCCAAAAAAATCAACCCTCCATCGAGACATATAGTTTGAATGGCGATCTTGTGTTATTATTACTACCTTGTACTCCTGATTCTTTATGAAAAGCTTGTTCATAATTAATATTTTTGTCTTAATTTTCTTGTCTCCTTGCAATCAATTCTATTTTATAAAAAAGTTTAAAATATGGAATTATGATACTATATGTTATTTTCATTAATCTATTTGTATTGACATGTTTTTTAATTAATTACTCCGTCGAATTTTAGAAATCTCAACTAATTTTATTGTATTTAATGATGACTTCATCTCCAAAATGCTCATTCATTTAATTGAGAATATATTTCCTATAACTCTTTTTATTATTAATTTAAAGTTTCAATGAAGGGTAGTTTAGGAAAATAAGTTATTTTATAATTGAGATAAGTGAAATAAAGTGAAGCTAACCAACTTTCTTTATTAACATGAATTAGGTTTTTTCTTCTTATATTTAATACCCAAGGTAGTATTTCTTATTACAAAATCAAACCTAGATTATTAAGTGTGTATATTAATTCTTACTTGTCTTTACTAGTAATTTTTAAATTAAATTTCTAAAAGTGAGGCAAATAACATGGAAAGCCTATATGAATATGAAAATTCTAAATAAATACCTATACAACTCATTATGTTACACCCTTTTACCCCAAATAAAAAAATAAATAATATAACAATTTTGTAAAATAAAAAATAATAAATTTCTTCTCATCAATACTTTGTAAAAGGGTTTACAATGCTTTATCCATACCTGGGCAAAGAAAAATATAGAAATTAATGTATAAAACAAAGCAAGGCATAACCACCTAATTTAATAAAGTTCCAACATGAAATAGCAACTTAACATTTGCATATAATTACTAATACTAAAACTTTTCCCCAATATCACACTATCAGAGCAAAACCTTTCTGATGGAAACCTAATCCTCAAGGATCCCTTTGGAAAAGGTAAGACCAAGAAGGGTGAAGGTTGATCCATAGGAAGCTCACACTTGAAGGTCATTGGACCTTTAGAAAGAACCATGATTAGGAGGCTAGAGGAGGCTTCTATAGATGAGGTGCTTCTTAGACCTATGCTCTATATGAGCATTGAGTATGATTCCTCTTTTTAGTCTCATAGTCTCTATTGTACATACCTTGTATAGTTTGAGTTCTTGTACCTTGTATATAGTAGATGCTTGTATAGGTGTATTTAGTCTTTGTAGTTGTAAGGCACCTTTTTCTTATCTCATAGGTTGATGGAGGACCATCCTTGAAGCATCATATAGGGCCTATCACAAGGTCCATGGCTAGGAGGGAAGAGAAAGATGAAGAACACACCACACCAAAAGCCATGATCATCATGTGTGTGGATTTTGAGCCCTCTCCTTAGTTTGTTGTTTTCTTTTCCCATTTTGCCCTCGTATTTTGGGGTACATTAAATATTAGGATTTTATTTTGTATTTATATTTAGCCTTTGTATTATGAGGCAAAATTAGTCTTAGGATTTATTTTAGGACTTAAACCTTAAATTATGAGGTCAAAGTCCATTTCTTTCTTTTCCTAGACCTAAGGGTACTTCGGTCTTTTAGGAGGAATGAGAGCCATTTCATTTGGGATGGATTTAGGTTTCATTTAGGGTGCATTTGGACTCCAAAATTTTGGCCAAATTCTCCCAAGAAACACTAGATGTCTTTCTCTCCCTATAAGTACTCTAGGTCACCCACCTTGTAGCCACTTTGGAAATTAAAGCTATTGAGTGAGCCTGGTGCCTCTTCATTCTTTCCTTAGTCCCCTAGGAACTCCATGGCCCCCTATCCTCTCCTCTCTTCCTTGAGTGAGCTTGGGTCTTCCTTGGTTGGCCTTCATCATCCTAAGTGAAGTGAGCTAGCCTAAAGGAGCTACACCACCAAACACCTTCCATTTCTCTCCTTCATTTTGTGCGTCACCCTTCACCTTCCCAAACACCAAATTTTCCACTTCAATACCCTTGAAGAGATCATCCTTCACGTCATATCAACCTTGGAGAAGAGAAGGAATCAACCACTAGCCCTCATGGAGAAGTTGGTTCCATCATATGGTATCAAAGCCATGGTTGTCTTCAAGGGTAACTTGTCTCTTCTCTTTTGTGTCTTCTAAATGTTTCTTGTCATGTCTATGTCATCTCATATGTCTTGATGTTATCCTCTCAATTATTTCTTAAAATGTTGTCTTCTTGTTAAGTGGTTTATTGTTGGTTCATCAGCCTTCCTTGTTGTGCTCTAGGTTTCCTTTAAAATAGGTTCTTGTATTCTTTTCTTCATTTTCATCTTTGCTGGAAATTTTTTTCAAGAACATGATGAACACTTTATGAACCCCATTTTAATCTTTATTTGTCCAAGTTTTGTCTAAAGTTTGTGTTTTCCTCACTTTTTCACCCAAATACAAGTATATGCATAATACCTTCACTTGATGCATGTAACTTGGAAATGAATGATGCATGGTTTTCCTTCTAGGTCGCTGGCTAAAATTTTGCATGTTCCTAGAGGTCACTCATGCATGTTATTTAGTTCATGACATGTTCTAAAAGTTTGTTGAATTCCATGTGGATTTGTCTCCTACACATGCATGGTTAGCCACTCCTACATGCTCATCATTACATGATCATCCCTTGTCCTTTGTATGACAACCATGTAGTGTTTTTGTGCTGAAAAATATGCCAAGAATGTGTGTGTGTTTGCTGAAAAAAACTGCACCAAATTAGTACATAGTACAAGACACCTTCCACCTTACAAAAGTTGCTTTATGCATGCCACTTGTCCTTTTTTGTCTCCTACTTTTTGTGCTACTTTTAATTCACCCACAAGTGTAAAAACCAAGCAACATACAAGGTTAAAATTAAAAAGAAAAAAAAAACTAACCAAGGGGTTGCACCAAGAAAACTGGCGTGAAAATACGAAAAAAAAAAAATCAAAGGAAATTTGTTGTTAGACTTGTGGACAATTACCATTTTACCCTTGCACAATTGGAGTGGACTTGGACCATTTTTGGACCCAATTTGAGACCAAAAACCGTGGCTGGACTTTAAGGAAGAGACCTCACATTAATTCTTTAAGGACAAGGAACATTAAACACTTAATTCTATTATAGAACTCTTCTAGGATTTCCCTTTGAGTGCTTGCCTTCTTAAATGTGCTTTAATTTTTTGCTTTTCTTTCTTGGAATTCCTTTTGTTTTGTCCCATCAATATTCTCCTTGAGTTTAGCCTTTCTAATTGAGCATTTTTAGTTTTTATTTCTTGGCCTCCTTTCTTGCTCTTGGTTGGTTTATTTCACTTGGTGTAGATGAAGGCTATTTTCACACATCCATGCAACTTTTGGGAAGATTGAGTTGGAGGAATTGTCTGTGAATTCCAAAGTGCTTTGGGAGGGATCCATCACAAACTTAAAGTGCAAACACCTTGGGAGGAAACTAACCAAGTTTGTTCATTGTGAAGGGAACATCAAAATTGGAGCTTTGAAGACTTTCTTGTTTTGTTCCTTTTACTCCTTCATTTTTGTGCCAATTTTGTAGTTTTGATTGGGCCACTTGTATCTTGGTCCTTATTCAGTCAATTGGGTTGTAATTGGCCTCTTAAATTAATTATTTTTAGGAGTAGTTTCGTTTAGTTCTTGTGGAAGTTTCTCGAAAACCCCCAAGGTCACTTCAAGCTTCCACCCTAGGACTTCCGACTAGTATATGCTTTATTGTTTTCCTTTAATTCTCCTAGTTGTTAGCATAATTCCTTAGGCTGTTGTATGTTTGTTTAGAGGCTTCCAAAGTTGCCTACTAGGGGTCCGAACACACACTCACTCTTGTTGTGCTAAAATGTTTTTTATGAGGAAAGTGAAAAAGGGGATTAATGATTTCTACTTGAAAGAACTTGGTTTTTAAGAGATTCTTTGTAGTCCACCTCCATTGATAGTTCACTTTGTGCACTTAGGCCTCCTATCACTATTCTTGCACTCAAAATCTTTTGTGAAAATCTTTTATCACTCACTCTTTGTGAAAATATTTGCAAGAACCTCTTTGTGAAAACCTTTTTTGATCAATGATGAGTGATCATTCAAGTGTACGTGGTCAAAATACCCATAGTAGTAGACATAGTCTTAGGGATGAACTTAGATAATTTAGGGAATACATAAAAAGAAAGGAAGAAGAAAATGAAAAAAGAGAGGAAGAATATAACAGAAAAGAGAGAGAAAATGAGAAAAACAAAAAGGAAATAAAATAGATGCTAGCAAAACTAGTCATGGGGGGGAGTTGGGGGATCCAACCCAAGGGTTCCCTTAACTAGGCCCCAAAGAGGCAATGGGGTGAGAACCCCTAGAAGTGAAAGTGAGGGTATTCAACACCCTACAAACCCCCCAAGTGATAGCCATTATAGTAGTCATCACAATGATGATTACTATCAAAAGCCACCAAGAACACAAAGACCAAGGGAGTCTTCCCATAAGGAACCCAATATTACTCTTTCCTCATTTCATGGCAAAGACAATGTTAAAACATATTTAGATTGGGAAATGAAAGTTAGACAACTTTTTTCTTGCCATGGAATAAGTGAAGAGAAAAAAGGTTTCTTTAGCAACCCTTAGCTTCTAAGGACATGCTATGTATTGGTGGACCTCCTTGGAAAAAGAAAGAAGATTGCATCATGAGCCCCCAATACAATATTAGAATGAACTCTGTAGTGCCTTAAGAAGGAGGCATATTCCCCCATACTATGACCGTGAGCTTATGGATAAGCTTCAAAGGTTGAAACAAGGGTCATCAAATGTGGAGGAATATGGGCAACAAATGGAGTTACTTATGATGAAGGCTGGAATAAGGGAAGAAGAGAGGACCACCATTTCTAGATTTCAAAGTGGTCTTAATCTTGAAATAAGAGACAAAGTTGAACTTTTGCCTTATAGAGATTTAAATGAACTTGTTCAACTTTGTTCAAGAGTGGAACATCAACTCAAAAGGAAAAATTTTAGAAAAGACTCC